GATCAGCATTTGTCTACAACTCCAAGTAGCAGCCCTTTGTGGTTGTTATGTAATGGCAAACAAAATAGAGGGCTCAATAGAATAAAAAAAAAGGGCAGAACAATGTTGCCAAAACTGCTTCTTACATTTAAATAAGCTAAGCACATAGTTTAATACACTATCACCAATAATGGACTATAATGTAATAGCTTGACCTATGGGATGCCATTAATCAGAAGGTCAAGTGAGTTTTAGGTAACTTATATCATTACAGAAGTAACATATCCTATTGAGATTAATCCCACCAATAGGGGAATTCCATATATAAAAAAAAAAAAATTACTTTGTGTTGCATTTTGAGGAAAAGACCCGACTGGCTGTTTCTGTATGCTTGTGGACAGAATGGGGTCACTGACTGAACTACCGCGGTCGGGGTGCCCGCCAGCATTTTGGTGCGACCCCAACCGCGTAGAAAAACTGCCTGAGCCGCATTGAAGGAGCCCATCGGGTGGCCCATGTTATTTAACACTTAGCTGTTAAATAACCACAGGACAACTGTCCATGTCTGAAATGGCATTTCAGGTATCCCAAATGCACAGGTAAAATAAGTGTAGGACACAAATAACTAATGCTTGTACCGTGAAATATATAAAGTAAAAGTCATGAGTGACGCGGAGGCATCATGGTAGGGAGCATGAGTAAGAATAGCATGTATAACTTTTCATTATTCTCTCAAAGAACTCATAAAAAGAGCTCTTGACCAAATCTCTAAAGAGATGCAGATTTTTAATATATTATTAATTTTCCTTTTATCAAATGCTGGAAATAAAAGAAGAGCACAGTCAGTAAAGCTATACTATCTGTAATAGGACAGGCTTCCCAGATGCCACTCTTCCGACACATAATTATTTCAAATTTAAAGTTAAAATAGACAAACTGAAACAATACTCCAAGTCACCTATGCTTTCAGCATCCACGGCAGAGGAAAAAGTCAAAGTACAAATTATTGAGAGAGAAGTTTCAAAATCACACAAAGAAAAAGGGGTGAAATGCCAATGCACAAACAGGAAAAGGGGAACAATCCCAGATTCTCTCAAAAAATAAAGGGGGGCAGCATAAACATGAAACTGCCATATCACCATGTAATTAGGTAACAACTGGCACACAAAAAAAAAACGAGTGAAAAGAAAATAATCAGAAAAAAAAGGACAAAGATGTCAGAGGCGTTTACAGTGTCTTACGTCCGTTCTAGACTCTAAAATGGATGCTGCTCTCCTTTTTGGTAGACACAAACAAGCTTGACAAGCTCACAGTAAGTGTCACAATGTTGCCAGGTACATGCAGGGCCGCCATCAGAAAATTTGGGGCCCATGACAAAGCACAAGGTCTGGGCCCCCCCCCCCCTCCTCGCGGGCCCGCCCACGCCCTACCTAGTCCGCTCCGAATGATGCAGGACTGAATGTGGTGTGTGTATAGTGGAAGTGAATTAGAATGTGTGTAATGGATGTAGTGTTTGTGTGTATTAGATACTGTTTGTGCAATGAATGCAGAGTGTGTGGTGTAGCGGATGCAGTGTGTATAGTGAACGCAGAGCGTTTTTGAGTAGTGGATGTAGTGTGTGTACAGTGATGTAGTGTGTGTTTGTGTAGTGGATGTAGTGTTTGTATGTACTAGATGAAATGTGTTTAGTGGATGCAGTGTCTGTAGTGTGTGTATCAGACGCAGTGTCTGTAGTGTGTGTATCAGACGCAGTGTCTGTGTATAGTGAATGCAGAGTGTTTCAATTTGTGGTGGATGTAGTGTGTGTACTGTGAATACAGGATGTTTGTGTAGTGGATGCCGTGTGTACAGTTAATGCAGAGTGTATGTTAGTGTAGTGAATGCAGAGTGTGTGTCAGTATAGTGAATCCAGAGTGTGTGCATAGTTTAGTGAATGCAGAGTGTATGTTAGTGTGTAGTGAATGCAGAGTGCGTCAGTGTAATTAATGTAGTGTGTATGTTAGTGCAGTGAATGCATAGTGTGTGTAAATTTGTAGTGAATGCAGAGAGTGTGTTAGTATGTAGCGGATGCAGAGTGTGTGTTAGTGTAGTGAATGCAGTGTTAATGTGTAGCGGATGCAGAGTGTGTGTTAGTGTAGCGGATGCAGAGTGTGTGTTAGTGTAGCGGATGCAGAGTGTGTGTTAGTGTAGCGGATGCAGAGTGTGTGTTAGTGTAGCGGATGCTGTGTGTGTGTTAGTGTATGCGTGTGTGTGTGTTAGTGTATGCGTGTGTGTGTTAGTGTATGCAGTGTGTGTGTTAGTGTATGCAGTGTGTGTGTGTGTGTCAGTGTATGCAGTGTGTGTGTTGTGTTAGTGTATGCAGTGTGTGTGTGTGTTGTGTTAGTGAATGCAGTGTATGTGTGTGTTATTGTATGCAGTGTGTGTGTTGTGTTATTGTATGCAGTGTGTGTGTTGTGTTATTGTATGCAGTGTGTGTGTTAGTGTATGCAGTGTGTGTTGTGTTAGTGAATGCAGTGTATGTGTGTGTTATTGTGTGCAGTGTGTGTTGTGTTAGTGTATGCAGTGTGTGTTGTGTTAGTGAATGCAGTGTATGTGTGTGTTATTGTATGCAGTGTGTGTGTTAGTGTATGCAGTGTGTGTGTGTGTGTGTGTGTGTTAGTGAATGCAGTGTATGTGTGTTATTGTATGCAGTGTGTGTTGTGTTAGTGTATGCAGTGTGTGTTGTGTTGGTGAATGCAGTGTATGTGTGTGTTTTTGTATGCAGTGTGTTGTGTTAGTGTATGCAGTGTGTGTTGTGTTGGTGAATGCAGTGTATGTGTGTGTTATTGTATGCAGTGTGTGTTGTGTTAGTGTATGCAGTGTGTGTTGTGTTAGTGAATGCAGTGTGTGTGTGTGTTAGTGTATGCAGTGTATGTGTTGTGTTAGTGAATGCAGTGTATGTGTGTGTGTTAGTGTATGCAGTGTGTGTGTGTGTGTGTTAGTGTATGCAGTGTATGTGTGTGTTAGTGTATGCAGTGTATGTGTGTGTTATTGTATGCAGTGTGTGTTGTTAGTGTATGCAGTGTGTGTGTTGTGTTAGTGAATGCAGTGTGTGTGTTAGTGTATGCAGTGTGTGTGTGTTATTGTATGCAGTGTGTGTGTGTGTTAGTGTATGCAGTGTGTGTGTTGTGTTAGTGTATGCAGTGTATGTGTGTGTTAGTGTATGCAGTGTATGTGTGTGTTATTGTATGCAGTGTGTGTTGTTAGTGTGTGATCTGGGGTGAGGGGGAGGAAGGGGCATTTTAACATTAATTTTTTTATTAATTTAATTAAATGTTTCTCCCCCCTCCCTGCTTACCTGTGTCCATGGAGGGGGGAGATTCCATCCCTGGTGGT